GACTGAATAACCCTGCAGAAGACCTGGAAGACCTGAACCCTGGAACAGGGAAGAAGGGAAACCGGTCAACCCAAAGTGCATATCTAGCCATCGAAACCGTGGCGCACAGATAACGGCAAAGAGCTGCAACCGGACACAACACATGATGTACCCCCGGCCTGACCAACCAAGCATCAACAACTCAAGGACCCCTCCGGAAAGCAGCAGTCTCATTCTTTGCCAGAAAAGAAGGTGACGGCTGCAAAAGAACAAACCTACAACCAGGACCAAAAGAGCAGAAACCCCTGCGCTGGAGGAGAGCATGAAGCTCCCTGACCCGACTCCCAGAGCCCAATGCCAACAAGAAAAGGGCCTTCACCAAACAAGCCACGCAAACCGAGTAGAAGAGAGCACCTGATCCAACGACCAGGACGGCTCAGGCGGTGCATGAGCAGGCCATTACCTATAACATCCTGTACCTATAATGAACCCCAGTAAGGAAAATAATATTCAAACGTGAAAGAAGGATCCATAATGAGTCTCCGTGGTGTAGTGGTAAGACACTCGCCTGGCGTTCCGCGAGCGCTATGTCATGGGTTCGTATCCTGGCCGGGGAGGATTTAGTGGGCGCAATTCCTTAACTGTAGCCTCTGTTTAACGCAACAGTAAAATGTGTACTTGGATGAAAAAACGATTCTTCGCGGCAGGGGATCGTATTCCAGGGACCATAGGATTAAGGACTTGCCCGAAACGCTACGCGTACTAGTGGCTGTACAAGAATGTAACAACTCTTGTATATATCTCAAAAAAAAAAAAAAAAAAAAAAAAAAAATAATAGAGGCGTAATCCGGGTCGCACAGGAGTTAAGCTGCAATGGCCTCCCGCACCACATGAGGCGGGATGCGGGAGGCCGAAAACCTCCGGAAGGACAGGACAGGAAAACCCAAGGGAGCATGGAACCGAACCCGGGAAAGGAATGACGCCAAATCCAACTTGTACAAGGAGGGAGGAAAAGAAGACCCCATTCCTTGTAACATCAAGCCCCGCTTGGAGGGTAAAAAAAACCCACGCGGGGTCCAACAGGGCCCAAGGCCCCCAAGTCAACCTCTACCCCACCCTGGGAACCTTCCCACAAAGACCCGGAGCAGAGCCGTCCTCCAAGTCCCCTGCTTCAAAGAAAAGGCAGGAGCAGCCAAAAGGGGGGCCCACTGGTAAGACCCAGAAGCTCCGGCTGTATGGTCGAATGCTTTTGTCGCCACACTGGAAGGGGCATTCCCCAAAACTGCCCAAGTCTCATCACCAAATAAACCCTGCCCGAACTCCAAAAGCCTCAGATGCTTTGGAGCTGGATGCAGGGAGGGAAGGGGGAGAATAAGGGGGAGGGGGGGAAGGAGACGACCAGGATGAACAGCAGAAGGGAAAGGACAAGGGGGCGCGGACTGAACCAAAGTTGAAGCGACTAACACCTCCAAGTCCGGGTCCCTATAACCAAACTGGGACAGTCTCGGGGTATCTGGGGTAGCAACTAACCTAGCAGGCTGCATCAACCTAAACCGAGCATGCAACACCGAAGCTGCCTACACCTGAACATCATGATCAGTGAACTGGTGTATTGGAGTACAAACAAGGAACAAAACTAGCAGGACTCCGGGTCAAAGGTGTCACTGACCCAACAGGCAGCATGACAAAGGCACAACTGGTGAATGTCACCATCAGACAGGGGGACAGAGCAACCTTAACTCACACGAAGCAAGAGGGGATCCAGGGGTCGCATCTATCGGACCAAAGAGCCTCTGCAGGGTTTCCCAGGGCCCTTAGTCGCATTATTTTGCTAAGGGAAGCCCAGGCAGGGTACTGCTACAGGCGCCCAAAAACTACCAAGCAAACTGCTAAAGCTGAGCCCCACAGGATGTGTACACTGGCGGGAGCCTAGCAGAGGACCACCAGGATACAATAGTGTGTGATCAAACCAAGGGGCAGACCCCCACTAGGCAGGAAAACAAAAATGAAAAGAAAAACCCTGCAAGACGACAACGTACCCAGGTGGAACAGAGCCAGCCACTATGAAAGGTGATAACTAGCTGCACAGTACACTGTGCCCAACCAGTGACAATAACTACCCCCTACCCAGAGGCAAACAGGGAAGCAAGAAACACCCCAGCCGATTCCAAGGGCGGTCAATTACCGAACAGCCAAAAGACACAGCGGAGGTAGATCCCAAGATGACTTGTGGTAGGTGCATGCAACTCGAGTACTGCAGAAATTACACCTGGCTTGCACACCACTGTAGAGATAGCACCATACCACAAGGCACAGAACTGGACCATTCTGGATCCAGAGGTACATGACCTTGCCAGTTCCACATCGGCCACAGAACTGCAGGGTGGATAGCTGGTGCGGGGATCTGAGGCTCCCCATTCCATGTCCTGGGGAGGGAGGGGGTAGGTTGCACTGACAGCAGCGTGGTGACGTCATGCTCGTTTTCACTTGGGGAGTTCTGTCCACTAGTTCGGCTTTCACAAGCAAAATTTTAATCAGAATAGGGGTTTGTTTTGGGGCACTTACCTTTCTGAGTGCCTGACTCAGTCAATGGCAAACATAAAATGCTTCCAACCACACAGGGGGTGTCTACAGGCCTTTGTCTTGTGCCTCTCTGAGGGGGGGAGGGGCCCAGGTTCTGGCTCGTGGTCCTCAGTAGGCCTAGAACTCCATGCACAGACTGATGCCAGGGGTCTAATATATTCATATCAGCCCGGTTAGCTCCGGGGAGCCGAAGGGGCTCCCCCAGAAAAACAGCCGAGTAGAATGAAACTTTCCTTTTTGAGCTTTGGCTTGGTAGCTTCCCTGAACCATTATACAGGATCCATCGAGACCACTGGCCCCAAGCAACTTCGAGACTCACCAAGAGAAGAATCCTAGCAAATTGTCTTGTCCCATAGTCGGAAGGTTTCGTATGCTCTTAGGTATCACAGAAAGTAGTAGTTCTCATTGGTATTTTTAGCACATGGACTATGGGACAATGTAATCTACAAGGATACTCATTTCAACGGAGCATTGTTATTGCCGAGCCTGGTATACTAGTAATGGTCTCAGCACAGCTAGTCCTATGGCTCAGGGTATAAACCAAAGGCAGCCTTGTTCAGAAAGGAGAAGGAGCAAGTATGACAATTCTAAATATAGAGTATGAAATGGAAAAAGATGTAGGACACGAGTGAGAATGTGACTTATAGCATACATTGGAATGATTAATATCAAAGTTGCATAGTACTGAAAATATGTGATAACTTTTCCTATTAAGTGGTGCTTCCTGTCTGTTTTTCTTTGTTACCTTACAAACCCTTTTCTTTGACAGTGTTAACCCTAAATATTTTATCAGCATGCAAAAGAATAAAATAAAAACCTATATTTAATATATAACTGAATTGCATTAAACACAATGAATTAGTTGTGTATGAATGTTTAAAATGTATCTGTAGCTTTCTTTGTTGCTATTCTTGTATTCTATATATAAAACAATTTTCAAATATACTTTTCCCAATATACTGACCCTTTCTTTGGAGCATTATTCAGAATTGTTAAAACACGATTCACACTTCAATATAAGGTAGGGTATCGAATAGGACCCTTTGAACCCAAAAATATAAATCACATGTACCTGACGGTAACAGAGCTGAGTCAGCAGCTGTGTATATTCCACATTGATAAGACTCCTCAGCTGTGTTACATTGAACTGGAAGAGGATGTAAATTATAGCCTGGTGATTCAACTAATCTAAAAACATGCAAGAAAAACACACAAACAAATTTTGATCAATTGATACATTCAGGAAATTATTTATATACTGTATATATATATATATATATATATATATATATATATATATATATATAAATATGACCGAAAAAGTAAGATTAATAATTCTAACACGAATTTTCTCGATCTTTCGTACATTTCTTTTCACTGTTGGTGGTAATTCAAAAATCAATTCTCCAAAATTCATTTTTATTTCATATATTAAATAAAAATGAATTTTGGAGAATTGATTTTTGAATTACCACCAACAGTGAAAAGAAATGTACGAAACATCGAGAAAATTCGTGTTAGAATTATTAATCTTACTTTTTCGGTCATATTTAATAATATAATATAATATATATATATATATATATATATATATATATATATATATATATATATATATACATATACATATATATATGTCGTACCTAGTAGCCAGAATGCACTTCTCGGCCTACTATGCAGGGCCCGATTTGCCTAATAAGCCATATTTTCCTGAATTAATACATTTTCTCTAATTTTTTTCTTATGAAATGATAAAGCTACCCATTTTATTATGTATGAGGTCAATTTTTTTTTATTGGAGTTAAAATTAACGTAGATATATGACCGAACCTAACCTATCTTTATAGGTTAGGTTCGGTTAGGTAGCCGAAAAAGTTAGGTTAGGTTAGGTAGTCGAAAAACAACTAATTCATGAAAACTTGACTTATTAAGCAAATCGGGCCTTGCATAGTAGGCAGAGAAGTGCGTTCTGGCTACTAGATACGACATTATATATATATTTATATATATATTATATATACATATATTATATATATATATTATATATACATATATTATATATATATATATATACATATATTATATATATATATTATATATACATATATTATATATATATATTATATATATATTATATATATATATTATATATATATTATATATATATATATTATATATATATATATATATATATATATATATATATATATATATATATATATATATATATATATATATATATATATATATATATATATATATATATATATATATATATATATATATATATATATATATATATATATATATATATATATATATATATATATATATATATATATATATATATATATATTTTTAAGACTTTTGACTAGTAAATAATATTACACCTTGTGATATGTATTATGTTTTGCTTATTGCATAAATAATATTAAGCAGAATATGCAAAAAATTTATTGTCACTGTATAAAATGACTGTAGCTTGGACCGGAAATATAAAATATCTGGGTCAAGAGAAACCTGCTTACAATTTAGATTGTATTAAAAAGTATGAAAGGCATTAGCTACAGGTAGCTTACCTATTTACACCTTACTTATCAACCTAACTTTACACGACATAGTGTAAAAACGAGTACAAAAAGGCAATATCCAGTCTTTCTTTGGTTACTCTTTTGTAAGAAATCCAAAGGATTGTCAAGAGCACTTTTAACCTTCCAACAGGAATGATTTCTATTATACTTGTTTAAAGGTCACTTTGGGTTTATTTTAATTTGATTTCAAGACTTGATACTTAGCAGGAATCCAATATTTTCATTATTCTAATTATATAAACTGTCTAGCTACAAGCCTTACTTAATTTTTTAACAGATCAGATAAACAATTTGATTAAGAATCACTGGACATGAAAAAATCAATGATATATAATACAAAAAAATAAACCATTAAAATAGTGAATAAATCAGAATTCCTGAGATTCAGAAGATCTATCAGACCAAGCCTTACGCATTTTGGGCTTACCAGGTTTGCTTCCTATGGAACTTGTAACAGATGGGCTTCGATTTCTTGTATTCTTCGCAGGAGAATTACTCTCTTTTGAAGTTGTGCGGGTTACAGTTCGGTTAGTCTTTGGTCTACCTTTACCCATTACATTCTGAGAATCATTTTTCCTGTCTGGTGAAGCAGTAGGTAAAGGGCTGTTCTCTTTATAACGTTTATTTGCAGGTAAAGGACTTCCTTCATTTGAGCCAGCAGACTCTGAGGAACGCCGTGCTGTTCTCTGTAATGTATTTATTGCAGATTTTGATTTGGAAAGCATTCGGGCTGGAGATGGAGTGCTTGTCCTAGACCTGGAGCCTCTGCCTACTGGAGAACTACGATTCTTCACCTGAAGTTTTTCCATTTCAGTATTCACAAATCCAAAAGGATCTGATGATTCTGAAGTGCCCTTTTCTTCTTTGACATCTTTCTTTCTTCCCGAACCTTTTCTGAACAATTGTGTTTTGGCATTCATTTGCTTTTTACTCTTGATAGCTTGTGAAATAGGGGAAGAACCAGGAGTCTCATCAAATTCCATTAGGTCATGTGAAGGTGTTTCCTGAATTGCCTCGGGAGTAAAGTCTGTAAAGAAACAAAAACAATTAACATAAAATACCTTTCTCTTGTTAATTTTTGGTATATTAAGAATACATGGTCAAATCAGAATATTACCAGGAGTTATGAATATCAGATAATTGTAACCTCTGCACTTACACTTGGTTCATTTTAAGTGATTGAACACACATACAGTACAAAATATTGTCATCCTATACATAATTAAATGACCTGAACTAAACTGAAGCTTGTCTAATTATATGGAGCATAGTATTAAGTTATCCAATTAATCTAGTAGTACAGTAACAAGTTCTTTATTTAGAATGTTAAAGTACTGGGGCTAGTCAGATAATGGGATACATCTTCAACTGCTCGTTTAAAGTCAATGCCATTGGAAAAATCTTTATGTACAGAATATTAGTTCAGCCAAATCTAAATAGTCTGCAGCAGACTCAAGTTAATGACATCTTGTTCACTGAACATAATTATCTGCACTTCATACTTGTGTTTACTACAATGTCCTCACCTATTGACCTGAGCAGCTATGTATCCTTTATATGACATTATACACAAGTTTGCACCAAAGTCAAGTTCTTCACGCTTGGATTTTTTTCTACTGGTTGAGTCAAGTGATCATTTCAAATTAAATGGCAAGAGGACTTGTGTTATGTTCAGTACAACATTTTGATAGCATATTATAACTGACTTAAAATTGCTATATTATAAATATTATGCTTTTAACACTATCGCCTGCTCTGGACACCGCTCGCGTCCACTTTTTTTCTCTTTAGTCCTAGCCAGGGACAGGACTCGCGTCCAATACAAAAATATTTGTATAAAATTAATTTGTTATCCGATCGATCTCGGGATAGTTTCAAAATAAGCGCCTTTAGAGTGCGCACAATCTGATACCAAAATGAAAGATGTAACATGAAACTTGATGCCAGAACACTTGAAAGATTATAAACACGTTTTTGGTCAAAACTTTAAAATATTTGTTAAAATTCTATTTATTGTGCTATTATTTTGGGACTAGTTTTAAAATGAGAGCCTTTACATTGCGAACAATATGATACTAAAATGAAAGATGTAACACAAAAATTTATGTCAGTTATCTTGAGGTTATCTTGAGATGATTTCGGGGCTTTTAGTGTCCCCGCGGTCCGGTCCTCGTCCAGGCCTCCACCCCCAGGAAGCAGCCCGTGACAGCTGACTAACACCCAGGTACCTAATTTACTGCTAGGTAACAGGGGCATACGGTGAAAGAAACTCTGCCCATTGTTTCTCGCCGGCGCCTGGGATCGAACCCAGGACCACAGGATCACAAGTCCCGCGTGCTGTCCGCTCGGCCGACCGGCTCCCTGTCAGAACATTGGAAAGATATAAATAATTTTGTGATGATGAGTGTCCAAAATTAAAATATTTGTTAAAATTCCAGTTATTGCTCTATTATTATGGTACTAGTTTTAAAATACGCTCATTTATATTGCGAACAATTTGATACCAAAATGAAAGACGTAACACGAAAATTCATGTTATCAAACTGAACGAGTATACACATTAGGTTGCGGTGTGCCAGTCTGTGCTCGTTTACAGGTAACTTTAGGCTTTCCTGCTGGAAGTCACGCCGGGCTTTTGTACATTATATGCATATACACCTGCAGGGAAGTTAATTGCGAACACAATGATACCAAAACGAATGACATAGCACGATAATTAAGGTGAGAAAACTGAAACGAGTATACACATTTCAGTGTCGCCACGCGCTTGCCCGCACGCTCGCCTACACGCTGGGGGCGCGATAGTATTAATTAATTTTTTTACTTTAGTAGTAAAACTGTTTTTTACCAATTCCAATTCTAGGTACAACAAAGGCTTTCTTGATCCTTTTTTATGGTAATTTGACAAAGTGAAAAAGACAAGTAAAAAATCCTTCATGCACCCCTGGCACAATATGACATTTTAACATGTGAGAAAGCATGAGAAGCAGCTATAATTTGATTTAGACTATATATTTCAATATGTATTTGTGTCATTCCTGCTCTTTGTCAGTCTCAGTGTTATCAATGAACATATAGATTAATAAAATAATAAACTAATATTATCCATGCTAATACAAAGCATGGATATATAAGAAGACCTATAGGTGGTCTTATATATCCATAGAAGGATATTTAGGAAGAAATGAAGATTGTACCGTGGGTTTGAACTTTTCACATCAATATCAACAAACTCTTGAGGAATCTGTACAATATACAGTACGAAAAAATAATTTTGCATTAATAATGAATGAGTTTACACCGACTATCTTTAATCCATGACTGTGTAAGAGACAATTATTCAAGAGCATGTGCACTCTATACAGTGGAGTGTGTGCTGGATACTCCATCTTCATCAGCCACATCTTGGGCCTTGATGCATGTTTACATTTGGTTTATTGCTGTATTCCCACTTTATTGTATATACATTCTTAATACTAGTAGGCCCAACTAAATATCTATTATCATCATCACTATGACACACTATAATCAGTCTCATGACACTGGTGTTAAAAGAAGACAACAAGAAATTCGCTAAAAGTTAGAAATCTTAAGTCCACATGCTTGTGAAGCAACAATATAGTATGCCAGATGGATTTTAATGTGAGGGGGGAGGCAACAAAAATAAATTAAGCCAAGATCATTTTTAGGTGAATTATAATCCAAGAAGCAGTTTAGCCTGAGGACAGTAAGGAAGCTCAGATAGCAGGAGATACAGCAAACCCTGAGGAGCTGTACTGAAAGTTAATGGATGTAGCAGTGAACACTGAGGAGCTGTACTGAAAGTTAATGGATGTAGCAGTGAACACTGAGGAGCTGTACTGAAAATTAATGGATGTAGCAGTGAACACTGAGGAGCTGTACTGAAAGTTAATGGATGCAGCAATGAACCCTGAGGGACTGTACTCAAAATTATTGGACACATCAAATTCTCATCTCGGAATACATACCTTACAGAAGTACTGGCACTGGTTGCCTCCTAAAGTAAACAAAATATATATACCTGTTTGATGGGGTTCTGGGAGGAGTTCTACTCCCCAAGCCCGGCCTGAGGCCAGGCTTGACGTGTGAGAGTTTGGTCCACCAGGCTGTTGCTTGGAGCGACTCGCAGGTCCACATACCTACCACAGCCCGGTTAGTCCGGAACGTCTTTTAGAAAACAGTAATTTTCTCTTGAAGATGTCCACGGTTGTTCCGGCAATATTTCTTATAGTCGCTGGGAGGACGTTGAACAGCCGAAGACCTCTGATGTTCATAGTGCTCTCTGATTGTGCCTATGGCACCTCTGCTCTTCACTGGTTCTATTCTGCATTTTCTTCCATATCGTTCACTCCAGTACGTTGTTATTTTACTGTGCAGATTTGGGACCTGTCCCTCCAGTATTTTCCATGTGTATATTATTTGGTATCTCTCTCGTCTCTTTTCTAGCGAGTACATTTGTTGAGCTTTGAGACGATCCCAATAATTTAGGCGTTTTATCTCGTCTATGCGTGCCGTATATGTTCTCTGTATTCCCTTTATTTCAGCAAACTCTCTTGCTCTGAAGGGGAAAGTGAGTACTGAGCAGTACTCAAGACGGGACAACACAAGTGATTTGAAGAGTACAACCATTGTGATGGGAACTCTGGACTTGAAGGTTCTCGTAATCCATCCTATCATTTTTCTGGCTGATTCAATACTTGCTTGAGTTCTCTCTCAGCATACCTATTTGCACCTTTGCTTTTCAGTGGGGCTATTTTACACATCCTGCATTGTCTTCTGGTCTCAAGTGGTGTTATTTCTGTGTGAAGATTTGTAACCAGTCCTCCTAATATTTTCTAAATGTAAATTATTATGTATCTCTCCTGCTTGTGCTCTATGGAATACAGATTTAACATTCTTAGGCAGTCCCAATAATTTAGAAGTTTTATTGAGTGGATTCTAGCAGTAAAAGATCTTTGCACATTCTCCAGGTCAGCAATTTCTCCAGCTTTGAATGAGACTTAGTGGGCAACAATGTTCCACTCGACAGAGCACTAATGACTTAAAAAAGTACAGTATCATCGTTGGCATGTCACCTCTTGTTTGGAAGGTTCTTGTTATCTAACCTGTTATTTTCTTCCAGTTGTGACAGCAACTGTGTTGTGTTTTTAAAAGTAAGGAAATCCGATATGATTACTCCTAAAGCTTTTACACTGCTTTTTCTTTCAATACTGTGATTTGACCATTTTTATATGATTTCTGCTTTGAAGTTTTTTTCTTCCATAGCACAGTAACTAGAATTTATCCTCATTAAACATCATTTTATTTTTTGTGGCCCATTGAAAGACCTGATTAATATCGGATTGGAGGTTTGTTGTGTCCTCTATATTATCTACTCATGCAATTTCTAGTGTCATCTGCTAAGGATGATACAGTACTATAGTTTGTACCCTTGTTTATGTCTGATATGAGTACGAGGAAAAGTACTGAAGCAAGTATGGTATCTTGGGGAACTGAGCTTTTCACAGTGGATGATTCAGATTTTACTTTGTTGATTCACTTTGGATTCTGTTTGTTAGGAAGTTAAAGATCCATCTCCTTACCTCGCCAGTAATTCCTTTTGTGCACATTTTGTGTGCATTCCTTGCCAATGCCATTCCTTGCAATGATTCCTGGGCCAAACGTGCCCATTGGGCCCCGAAATCAGCCATGGTCACATTTGTTGAAGGCTTTTGCAAAATCTTTGTACAGTACATCAGCCTCCCTCGACCCACAGCAGACGAATCTAAAGACTGGACCATCACAGTCTGTTGACACTTGAGTCGGGTGGTGAAGACAGTAGTGGATGCTGCTGCATCCTGAAGCACAAGAGCATATAGCTTGGCAAGTGCAGCCAACGCCGTAGCAGCAATTCTCAAGACCCCCCCCCCACTAAGCGCTTCAATGTCCTCCTAAAGCCAGTCAGAATAAAACTCTATAAGATACCAGGAAATGCACCACTGAACCCAAATGCAGATGGGCCCAAAG